TCGGTGCTTTTTGTTCGTCTTGTATCCCAATCTTTTGAATGAGGTTGGATGCATTGAAGAAACGTGTGTTATTAGGATAACATTACGTCGGAGTTTGTCAGTGGTTGCATATTTGTCGCGTAAAGGGTGGCATAATTGGTTTATTGAAACAACCTTTATACATGACTCTGTAGAGTGATTCGATTACTATGGTCTGTAATGTATTTATTATAGTTAGCGCGCGGCCCAAGTACTTTGTAACAGTTTATGATGAGAGAGACTGGACTAAAATTAAATTTGACACCCTGACACGTGCGACACATAAATGTTTATTGAACGTTTACCCGCTTACATACATAATTATACGGTGGAAATCAATTTTGTTGTTTGTAGTTTTTTTGATTTTGTTACTGGCGATGTCGAAGTGAAATGTACCCTTCGTGGGATCGTGATAAAGAGTGAGGCGTTAATTTATTTAACTCTGGGCAAAAAGCTTTTAAGTTTAACTAATGCATTTACAAAATGGAGCGCAAAATACAAAAATAAAGTCACTTGTAGCGTTGAAAGTGACGCCTTTTAAAGTGATACATAATTTTATAATAAATTCGAAACGTTATATGTAGATAGGAAATTTCGGAACATAAAAGGCCGCCGTAATTTAATCAAGCGCTAGCTAAAAAGCTTACAAACTCAATTGAGTTGATTTCAAGCTCAAACGTATCGATATTTATTTAATTTTAATTTCTTATAACCGCCCTTGGGCAAACACAATGCAACACTATGAACTTTTTGGGTGAATATAACCGAAAACCATTGAAAAATCAACAATGGACCTTAAGTGGCAATTTGGAAGTGTTGAGCGTTGTCAAAACATGAGCCTAGCTGATTTTTAACTAAAATTGGCACATGTATTTACCTAATTTGACAGTCCCATTCATACTTCCCACATTTGTTCTTTATTGTATTTTTATTGCATTTATAAATATCAGCTTACCTTCCCACAGGTACCTATACAAAAAAACCAGGTGAGAAGACATTGTATCATATTATGCATCTAATCTGTAAATCTACCGAATTTATCAAAACATTTAAGGAAAAATTGCAATAATTATTATATACTATAGTACCACAGATGTGAGCGGTAATTTCTCAAACTCGATATCGAATTTCAGGTGTCAGTTTTCCAAATAACAAATGTTACCACACATTTAACACATTTAATCCGCCCCTATTTGTCTAGCAAATAAATTGATATGCGAAAAATTATCTATCATTAGGCCCGGCTACGGGTTACTTTTACATAATGCCTTTCCCCAGAGTTCCAAGCCCCCAAGTTAAACTCAAATTAGCACCGTTTCTTTAAATCGCGCTTCTGTATATGAAAATGTAATATTATCGATCGTCGCTCTAAGGTTATGTGCACGTGTTAAAAGGGCTATAATTTAATGAAGGCTGGCCAATTACCCCTTTTACCCCACCCCCCCCATCGCAACCGAGTTTCGCTAATGTTTCCAGCAAAAGCAAAACTTCGCTTCTGACCTTTCGCTCTGAAATTTGCAAGTTTATGCGACCAAAACAGTAATTTCAGCTCTGGTGCTTTGAGTAAATGTTTACAACAAAGGGTAAACAATAAACAACCGTTATTTTAATAAAATCCTTTCTATATGCATAAACGCAGTTTTTTCACAAAATTTTGGGTTTCTATCTACTGTAGTTTTCACTGGGAAATTTCATATACTTTTAAAAAAGGCATATTTATTGAACATTTATCAATAGCACAAAATATTTAAAGTAATTTACATTATTATAACCATTGTTTACTTTTTAGTCTTGAAATTTGGTTAGTTAGTTTATTAGTTACATGCGCCATATTGAAATTAGAATGACGTCACGTATTTTGCTCGAGAAACCCTTTTATTTGATACCCATCTCAAGGAGGTTGTAAAGAAATAGTTAATCCGCCATTTTGGGGCGGCAGCCATATTGGATTAAGTATGACGTCTAACACATTATTTTAATGCTTAAGTCAAGGTTGTGGAGAAATAGACATCAAGGAGGGTTATAAAGAAAAATGCAATATGACATCTAATAGCGGCGGCCATTTTGAATAAATCACAATATTGAGTAAACTAGATTGTATTGTCACCAGCAACAAAAGTGTATTCATAATTTCAGCTCAATCGGTTTAGTGAAAGTAGGTTAAACTCGACTTGAGACATTCTGCCTAAAATGCATTTTAATAGTAGGTATATTATGTATCAAGTTTGATAAACGCTTAAATTAATAAGTGTATAGAAAAGTTTATAAACGAGGTGCATACTATACTTTTTCTACGACAAATACTTATTATTATCTTAAAATGATTTAAATCAAAAATTTGTATAGAGCGCCATCTATGAAACAACAAGGGAATCTGTGTGTCACCGTCAAATGTCAAATTTTTATATTTTATAAACACAGATTATAAAGGTTATAAATCGAAATGTATTTCTTGAAAATTGACAGTTTTTCACAGTGAAAGTAAAGAAAATGTTTTAAAGTGGAGTCCGTACCCGAATTTAAGTTATAGTTTACTGCCGGCGAAATTAAAAGGTCAGTACAATGTTGATAAAACTTTTCAAATATTGGCGTTGAGAAACTATTTAATACTTTTGTATTTTTGTATTGAGATAGTAAAATAATTTTCACATTTAGTATTATTTTACAAGAAAGGCACTTTATTTTAACGATTGTATGACATTTGACAACTGTCAACTAACTTAAAACTAACTTCAGCCCGTGACTAAAGCGCCATAAAGCCACAATGTACGATAAAGGGCGTTTTAAAGGTGGAAGTAGAAAAAATAATTAATAATTAAATTACAGACAAAAATAAATGACACAAGGATCTTACTTTTAACCGTTGCAATGAGATGAGATTGATTCATTGATATGGTGTGTTGTCAATTTTTCAGATAATTGTTAGAGATGGAGAATTTTCGGTTGATGTAGATTGTGGAGTGATTTGTAAGGTTGTATTTATGTCTTGGGCGTAACGAATTGGTTGAAAAGGGACGATTAGTTAAACATATTGAGAAGCTCTGAAATTTCCATCCCCTTTTGCACGCGATGCGCAAAAACGGAAACAATTAAATCAACAATGGTCGGTTTAGTCGCTCACACAGCCGATGCTATTCGGACCAAATCTTGCAGAAAATACGTTTTTGTTGGCATTATTTCGAATTGAAATCATTTCATATTTAATAGGAAATATGCTTTGTTGCATTTGTTATGTACATTGTATTATTAAAAAATCCATTTCATCCAATTACTCTAATTATCGTTACTTAATTTTCGCTCGGATTCTCTCCACAAAGACAATTATCGCCACTTTGAAAATAAAAGACAAAAAACTTGCCTTTTGTTATAAACCAAACAACAATAATAGTAACCCAAAAATTGACTCTACCTTTCCGAAAGGTTTTGATGAAGCTAATGGCAACAGTCATAATGATGATAATAATAATAATTAATAAGGTTTTATAGATTACTGACAGTTCGATTGTTATTGTGGTTTCTCTGGGGCTACACAAATCATCCGGATATGATAGCAAGAGCGACATATCATAATTTTCTACGCCACTGTCAACTTTGTGTGGATAATAATGGCGGGATAGTTGAACATTTATTATGATTTTGTGGAACAGTTAAAAAAATAGCCACATGAGCATCAATAGACATAAAAAGTGAAAGGTGAAATTTTAAATTTTTAATGAAGGTAGATCATTGCCCACTGTGCAAGAATATTTTGCGTCAGGAACAACCAGTGGCGGCCCAAAATTTCTACTTTACTTATAAAAATTTTAATGATATGTTTATTAAAAAAATGGCACTAATGCATAAACGTTCTTAAAGGATGACAACTTATTTGGTGACACCCTGTATTTGTCTCAATACGTCAGGCGTTTAGGGGATCAGAATTTCTCAAAAACTTGACACAAATCATAGTTTAGAGCGTTAAAAACCTTCAAAAAAGTTGTAATTCATTAATTAACAAAACAAAATAGCGCTGTTTCTATGACGACGAAAGTGGTGGAAAAATAGCAGGGGTGTTTAAATTAGGTTTGCGCAAAACAAAAATCAATATAGAGGAAAATGTTAAATTATATGTTAGCAATAAGTTTCGTAGTAAATATTCAGATAAAGGTACCCCTGGCTTTTTAGGGGATCAGAATTTCTCAAAAACTTGACACAAATCATAGTTTAGAGCGTTAAAAACCTTCAAAAAAGTTGTAATTCATTAATTAACAAAACAAAATAGCGCTGTTTCTATGACGACGAAAGTGGTGGAAAAATAGCAGGGGTGTTTAAATTAGGTTTGCGCAAAACAAAAATCAATATAGAGGAAAATGTTAAATTATATGTTAGCAATAAGTTTCGTAGTAAATATTCAGATAAAGGTACCCCTGGCTTTTTGTTGCTAATTCAATAATAAAAGCGACAGCTTTAGGGGATAATTTTAAACAACAGCAAGTTCCACTGCATTACATATGTTGATTGTTTTATAGGAAGAACGGGGGTTCGTAAAATTAGCTTATGATTACGTTCATCACACGGTATTTACCGCTATTAGTTAATAAGAGGGCTTCAATCCCTAAGGATAGCTTTCTCCCTATAGGGAGACTTCCCCAATATACATATTTACATACACACATAGATGGTAGTAACACGATCTTCTTCGACAATGACATCCTTACTCTAATTAAATATTATTCTTAATCTCTTCATCAATATTTTAAAACATTCTTTGATCCTTAAACCAGCGCGGTTCGATACATTTATAGTAGGGTTAAATAAACAAAGGGTATAGCGGTTGAAAGCTTTACATTCCGAACAATAGCGCTCGCTATCTTAATCTCCACTTATTAGGTACGTCCATGTCAAATGGAGGCGTGCCCTAATTGTTATTGACAGTATTTTCATTCAATTACTTACTTTTGATATTTTTATCTAACGTATCTATATCTTTATTTATTTTGCAGGAAGCTCAACAAAAACGTTGTCTTGATGTTAATGACTGGTGCCCCAATGGGTGGGAAAAGTTTGTTTGCCACATCCTGCATTAATTATTACCCCACCTTCAGCAGGATAATCTACGTAGTAAGAGATACAACATGTCCACATCAGTATTTATATGAAATCGTTCGCAAGCTGATTTTGCACATTGGTTCACTAAGATTGCATTTCGGAAAGAAAGTGTACATCATCATAGATAAAAATATGGTTTACCTCGAAGAACGTTTCGATTACTTCTTGATGGCAGCTCAAAGCAAAATGTTATGCGTAAGATTGAACATTAGTTTTGACTTTGATCATACTTTTTTAACGTGCATGCGGAATCGCAACCCTTTGGAGGCGGATGATGTATTTCAACAATTGGTGTACGCTTCGTATCCCAACATACACCAACACATAGCCTGGGAAAATAATGTTTTGGTGTCATCCGACTTTTCGCAGCACATCGACAGAGAAATAGCAAACATGGAATGTGCTTTGGATTATTACACAATGAAAGATAACTCGCATTTCGAAAATCTTCCCAACTGGATATACAACCAGCATGCTCAGAAGAACAAGATCATTTCGGAAATTTTTGAGAAAAGATACAACAGCGTTTTGGACGCGATAGCTACAAACCAACCATTGGACACAATCGATACTTTCTACACGTCACAGTGGAGCTACTTTGTCGAATCAAACATGCACGATTTCTTCGTATACGAATTAAACAAAATGACATCCAGAAAAATCCTCTACGTTTTTAATTGCAAAGTTGAAGATGGTTCCTATCCAATACCTAGTTCAACGCTACACATGGAACTTGCTGAGAATACTAACGAAGCAGTGGAATATTTTAGAAGCAAAAGAAGAAATGGCTTTTCCCTTGACATAAACGCCAACAGACAGATACAGTTTAATAAACCTGTACTAACTATCGAAGATGTTAAGCAAGGTTTCGTTAAACACATCATATTAACGGATCAGTACATTCTGGCCTTCCACAAAAATGTTTCTCCAACAGCTGAGGAAAATGCTCAAGGAACTGTAAAATCCGTGCTAAAGTTTTTGGATGACGACGACAGTTTTGCTTTAGTCGATGAAGATGAAATATGCATTGGCATCCATTATCCTGAAGAAAATCCAAATTCTTTCCTCACTGAAGAAAAGTATACGCTTTTTGGAAGACTAAAGATGAGTTCTTAATGAGTTTTTTACCTCATCCTCACAAAGCTTTCATGTGATCAAATCTCTCTAGCTTAATAACTGTTATTGTTTTATTATTTTTAATATTTATTTGTTAAATCTAATCTAATATCAAACGGAACGAACTCCATCACATTTATCAAAATTTGCGGTTGGGGTCGACGGACTAAGTAGAGTCGGCCAGTTGTTTGACTGTGGTTCTTATCGGCCATCGGTTTATTTTCATAATTTTCGCGTTGACAAGGGATGACAGGGTATTACATGTGTTTTTTAATTGAAATGTTAACATTGTTTCTCTAAAAACATTTGGGTTACTCGAATGGAGTTTTCTAGGTTTGATTTTAGACGCTGATATAAAACATTGCATTACATTTTATTTTCTAATGTTATTATTATTAATATTTAAATTGTTAATAAAGGTTTATATAACAAAATATTAGTTTTATTACATAAAAAAACAGAAACATACTATTCATATTGTTAAAACAAATTATTTGTTAGCATATTATTTACAGATTTGTTTCTGTAATATTTATAGATTTCATATCTCCTCTCAAAGAAAACAAACAAATTTTAAACGCATCAGCATTTTTCTGATATATTTTTTAGTGTTTAAAATATTTGCATTCCCAATAAACATTTTTGTTTTCATACCGGATATTCAAAAAATTAAGCATACAATTTTACAACGAAATTACCAAACAAATTCGGCAACACTGTTTAGGTATATCATAAGATGAAATAATCCACATCTATGAAAAAAAATCAAATAAGAGAGGAGAGCTTTAGATACATACATGGTTGCCAGATGTAATAAGTATGTATTATTATTATTATTACATTTCACACATTTCTAGAAAATATGATTAACTTCGGCAACACCCTGTAGGTATAATGGAAGAAAGGTTTTGGACTTTCATTGCCCAAGTATTTTTAACTGGTTAGTATCTCTAGTCATCTGCAGGCGAATACTGAATAAGTTAAGTAGCTACAGGTGTATTTTTCTGTCCAAAACCTTTTATTCATTCAACCATCATCATTGTCTACAACCTTTAAACAAACACTCTGTATAACCTATTGATACCAAAGGTAATACAAACTGTTTATTGGGTGGTATTTATTTTGTTGTTGTTAATTAGTAATACTGATTCATATAATGTTTATATTTCTAGTTAATGAATTCATTCTATCAAAGATATTCAGACAAAGTTGTGTTTTATATCAAAATGGCAAGTTGTCTAATCGTTTCTTTAATCGGAGCCCCAAAATGTGGAAAAACAACGTTCATAAAAGACGTTTGTCACTACTTGAAAGAAAAACGAGATTTTGAAATATGCATGATTGATGCTGACGATTATTTGAGAACTTACACGCACGTAAGATCGATCTTGGGGCAATACCAGCAAAGATGTGATGGAAAAAAAATCGTCCTGATCCTGGATAAAAACATGCACGAGGTGAACGAACGTCACATTTTCTACACCCTTTGCAAATCTTACAACGCCAGTTTTGGTGAAGTGTTTTTCGAAATCGCCGAAAAAACATGCCAAGAAAGAAATCAAGCGGATATCCACTCTGGAAATGTAACTTTGGCTGATTTTAAGTCGATGTTCAATAAATCGCGACTGCCGACGATTTTTCAACCATGGGAGAATAAATACATTGCCGTTGAGTTGCCCAATAATGGAAGTAACGTCGTTTGGATGGTGATAGAGTTGTACAGAACATTGAGCTTTATGGAGGATAATTTAGCACTTGTTAATACTATTTAGATTTAAACCTATTTATTTTGTTATATTTTATGACCAATAAAGATATTATAAGTTATTTTTCCCAACTTTTCTGGAAAAGTAATACATTCAAATTTCACAAAGAAAGATAAGGATTGGAAAAATCAATAATTAATAATTGTAATAGAATACCTACCAATTCATTGGAAAGCAGTTTGAAATAAACAAACTCGATACACGTGTTTTTGGTTATCAATATTTACTTCTTGACTATTGACAACGGTAAAAGATAGATCATTTCAATTTATTTCTTTTAGAGATATAGTCAATCAATAAAAAATCAATAATGGAACAACCCGTAAATATTTATTGTATCTAAAATAGTATAAAATTAATTTATTGGGAAGCAGTTTTGAGTAAATGACAAACCCTCCAAAAGCCATCTATACTTATTTCCAATCCCGCCATTTTAGTAGTGACACGTCAAATTAGCGTCTGCGTGACGACGCGTTTTCGTTCATTTTTTAGTGTTTTTTGTGATGAAAACTTAATTTTAAGGTGTACAAATTGTTTCTTACGAATAAAAAGTGCATGTTAATGATAAAATATATATTTTCATTTTGAAATAATAATTTAATTTGTGCTTTGTGCTGATAATAAGTGCATTCCAATTGTGTGACTGGATTTATATATAAATTATATATAAACAAATTGGCAATTAATATCTAGAAACAGATTGGAAACTAATCATTATATGGTAACAATGGCATCGGCAATACTAGACATGGTAAGTCATTTTAAAATTATTATTTTCCAATTGTTTTTTCTGAAATTTTTCAGGCCTTTGGCACGGAGAAGAACATCATTGTGCTGTGTTTGGTAGGTGCAAGTAAGGTTGGAAAAACCATGTTTGTGCACGGAATTAAAAAACTACTTGAACAGAATTACTTTATCGATACGTATATTTTCAAAGATGGCAATAACTTTGACACAATCTATCACGAATTGAAAGAGTTGTTGCGGCACATTCGAGTAACCGGCGATGATTTCCAGACAACATGCATAATAATCGATAAAAATTTACCGGACCCTGCCTGCAGAAATAATATTTTGGTTTTGGCGAGTTTGTACCGTGCCCACACAATAGGAATATTCTTCGAGTACGATTTCAGCGAATTGCTCCATAGAAATGCAGTTAACTTAGATGGTAAAGATTCCACCCACAATCAATTCGTAGCCCACGTATTAGATACGCATCCGCCTTCTGTTGCATATTCAAACGAGCTTCGTATGACTGTACCCTGGAAGTTTTCGATATATCCAGAATTTTTGAAATTAATTAGCATTATTATTGGGCTTAAATCTGTGCCTGATGTACCTCCAGGGACCAAGGAAGTTATGAATTATATAAGTCGCACCAATTTGGTATACAGTAACTTTGAGAAAGAAATATTACCCAAAATGAATGTACATTTGCCATCACGTTTATTAGAAAAAGGTGTTCCAGAACCAAAACCAGATGTTCCCAATAATCTTTGGAGCACTCTCATACGTGTAGGGGGGGGACTGTCAAGCTTTAACTTTAACTACTTTAACCCAACTATTGTTAAAGATGCTCAAAAACCTTTCAGTGGTGGTAGCTTTGAAAATACATCTGTAACTGGAGAAAATAAGTCATCTCAAGAAAGCCCCTTCCCAATGGAGTTCATTTATGCATACCCAATAAGTAAACTTGACACACTAACACCCTTGCAAAAACAAATTGGGATATTACTTGATAAGGAACCCAATTTCCTGCCAAACCAGCCACCAGCTTCTCAAGGACAACATGGTAAGTCATTTTACAGTTTATATTTTCCAAATGAATTTTTTTAAACTTGTAGATAATGGTTTTGTTGCCGGAGAATCTAATTTCTTGCAGTATCCACAAACAACTTCTCAAGGACAACATGTACAGCAAAATATGTGGCCTCAACAAGGAAATATTCCTCCAAATTTAAGCCAACATGTGCCATATGTCTACCAACCACAAGGACAGCATAATTATGAGCCAGCACCGGCCCAGTACACACTGCCATCTCAAGAACAACATGGTAAGCCTATTTACAAGTCATATTTTCCAAATGTTTTTTTTTGAAAATTCGTAGATAATGGTGCTGTTGCCAGAGAACCTAATTCCTTGCAGTACACACCACCACCATCTCAAGAACAGCATGATTACAATCCAGCAATGGGTCATTACACATTTCCATATCAAGGGCAATTTGTTTACAAACTAACATCCCAAGGTAACTCATTTTACAGGTGATATTTTCCGATTGTCATGTTTGTACATTTTCAGCTGTTGCCGGACAACCTAATTCCTTGAAGTACCCACCACAGGCAACACCACCATCTCAAGGACAGCATGTAAATAAACCAACACAGGCACAAGCAAATACATTGCCTCAACAAGAAAATATTACACCAAAACATAGCCCATATCTCCATCAGCCACACCAGTACAGGGTGCCATCTCAAGGACAACATGTTTACAAACCAACATCTGTAGAACCAGAGAATATCACCCCAATAATGAGCCAACGGTTGCCATATGTCCGACAATTTCAAAATTCACCAAATGGTTTGACAGTTATTGTAAAGAGTCCTCTTACACCACCAACTGGAAACCAAAAACCATCAAAAAATGACAACCTAGGGAATACTACTCCAAAAATGAGCTCAAATGTCCACCAACCACACCATACACCAAATGGTACAACAACTATAATAACTAAGCATTGCCAATCAAATGGTTTGGCAGTCCACCTAAATGAACAGCTTATGGGTCTGCAAGTACAACCAAATGCGAAACGATTTATCCAGAATAACACTCAACAAATAACCCAGGCAAGCACTTTAATTCAAGTACCAACTCTTTACTTGGGCCAACCGAATCAACCATTGGGTGCCGAAAATCCAAACCAGCATTCCAATCCGGAACCAAGCACAGTCCAACTACCAGAAAATAGATCTCCACAAGCCAACCAAGGCGAAAATGCTAAATACCAACAGATTCCAGCTAGAGTGACTTCCAGAAATGCGTTTGACAGACAGAAATCACCACCGCCAAGGCCAAATGTAAGATCTCCGACATTACATGTCTTGCCATTGCAAAAACCAGGCGAGCAACCCCCCGCAGGTGAGCAACCCCCGGATCAATCTTCCACCGAGAATTCACCAACTTTGGAACCCTTTGTGATGGGAAGAGTTTTTTACAACTCCAACTTTGGTGCAAACAAATATAATAACAGAGGTGAAGGTGACAATTAATAATAATCCCTTGTTTTTATTTATTTTTTAGTTTTTTCGTAATATTTTTATTTACATTAGACTAGTTAAAGTTTAGTTTTAGTGACATTTACATTTAGGTATTTTATTTTTTAGAATTAAAATTAGTATTTAGTCTATATACTTTTAGTAAGTTACACTACTGTATAACTTATGTATTTTTATTTATGGGTATTAACGTTTTAGTTTTAAGTTTTACCAAACAATATCTTATAATATTGCTTTATTATTGCTTAATAAAAAATAAAAAAAGATGCTTCTTTGTTAACCTGCCCAATAAAAACAATACAAAAAGAAGCTCAACTGAGCTTTTAGTCTTTTTTAGACTATTTAGCCAGCTTATGATATTTTTAATAAACACCCAAGGCTGGGAATCGAACCCGGTACCGTTAGACGCAGATTGTTTACAGCTCTGTAGCTCAACCCACTACGCCATCCTCGGCCCCATTGACAAGCTATGACTTTATGGCGTTTTAGTCACGGGCTGAAGTTAGCTTTATTATAAATTGGGAAAAGGTGAGATTAAATTGTTCAAATGTCAAATATTTATGAATTAAAATTGGCTTTAAATTCTTAATTCTGTTCGTCGTAGATAAAGTACAGTATGCAGCTTGTTTTATAAACGTTTTTATTAAACACTCTCTCGCAAGCTTCGCTACTAACTAAAATGGCGTTTATAAAGCTTAATACATACTATACTATTGTTAAACGATACATAAAGTTTAAATTATAGGATACAATTAAAAAATTAAAATTTTGCACTATTTATTTATACCTTCATCCGACCCTGGTTAACTGTATTAAATGTCAAATAAACTATATTTTTATTCAGGAAATCTCTTTATAAATCTATAACAGTGATAATGTTTTATAAAAAATCAATAATGTTTATGTTGCTTACTGGAAAGACATCATCATAAATAGTCTGTGATAAAAGCAAATACGTAAGCATCTAGTTTCATAAAATAATGCTTAAATACCTATTCGTGTATTTTGCTGTATGCGCTTGCGTGTATTGATTTATAACCTTAATTTACTCATGCGTTCTGAACCTAACCTCAAATTGTTTATATTTCAGAACTAGCTTTTGTTTAGCTGATTTTGAAGCATAATTAGGACAAAATGAGTGAGCAAGGATATGTGGACAAGCCTGTAAGTAAAAAACAAAAAATTCTAATAATTGTGTATAGCGAGGTTATGTTTTTTAGATTAACTTAAAATATACCACCATGGTTTTAACGCTTTGTGGTGCGAATGGAGTAGGAAAGTCCTATTTTGCGCACAAAATAAAATCGTATTTGGAGAATTATGAGAATATAGATGTTTTTATCTTCAAGGAAAATGAATTTAATTTTGTTTTGCACGAAGTTAAAGAGTTGCTGAGACATTTGTTGGTAGATGGTGATAGATCTAGAACCACTTTGATAATTTTGGATATGAGTCTCACTTGTAGACGGGAAAGATATGAGGTGACTGCCATATCGAACTTTTACTATGCTCACAACACACAGGTATTTTTCCAACCTGATTTAAAACGCCTTTTTGATCGAAACATGTTTAATGACAAATTCAACTACGATCATTTTGCTTTGAATATAAACGAGAGTGCAATTCCAACTTCTTTATGGTCTTACGAAAAAATTCATGTTGTTCCTCCAAATTTCGACATGCATGAGGAATGCAGGCTACTGGATATTTGTTTAAGGAATTTAAAATTCGTTCCCTTGGAAAGAATAACCGATTTGCATATCAGTGGGTACATAAATCGTTCAAACCTTATGTACTCAAATTTTTCAGAGGAAGTTTTGTTTAAAATGGATGCCATATTCCCGAAAAGATATATAAATAATTATGCTTTACCTGTCCCTGATATAAGAAACTACGTTTATTTTGTAGAAAAATATTACCAAACTGCTTTGGGTTATGGCCCTCCCCCAAAATTTAACCCTATACCACAACCCTTTACACACGATTTTGTATGTGGAACTGCACCATTTTTACCCCAAAATCAGTCAAATAATTTACCAGAAAAATATGAGCAACCAGGACCAAATTTACCAAAAAACAATAATCAGGATAAACTAAATGGGAAACCAGAACCAAATTCACCATTAAACAATAATCAAGATCCCCCAGAAAAGTTTCATTACAACAATATTACATTCAATTCTGACATAAAATACACTTTCAATATCCCACTTCGCCTGGGAACCACTTTTGCACACGAAACAATTTGCGAGATGCCAAAAGAACCAGCTTTAGCACCACAACCAAAACCAGCAAGTCCACAAATGGCATCAGAACATTTTCCAGAATTTAAAAATCAAGGAAAAAATGGGGGAAATGCTAAACCAAAGCCACCCAAACCTGGCAAAAGGCAAATAAAAAATAAAAATCGCAGGGTAATTGCTAGAATGGGTTTGTCCTAGTGCTTTTTTACTTTTACACACGGTTTTTAGTTATGTAACATAGGTTTTGTAAATTTATAAGTATAAATAAATATTTTTAAATTTGTGCAATTTTTTATTAAAATTCCATGTCATTAAAAAAGTTTTATCCAGCTTAGGAAACCCAGATAACATCAGTGATTTTCATTCCAAAATCACGCACAGATTTTAATTAGATTTGATTGGCTTTTGTAGTTACAAGGCTTATTTTTTTAATAAATAAAACATTTTCTTGTAAAATCATTTGTTTAACCTGGCAACCCCAAAAACACATTAGAGCGCCATCTACAATCAAAGTAACTAGCTCATTTTTGACAATTTTAACTGTCACATTGTTGGCGGCTTTTTTTACACCACCGCTTTCTTTTGGAGTGCTTATTTTAAACAGTTAAATTGTTGTTAAATGAAACACTAAGAAAATGTCGGAAAATCAAAATAGACTGAACAGGGCTTTATGTGTGCGGAAGGCTTTCTTTGAATTGCCCGTAATAAAACCAACATCGGTAAGTTTTAATTAAAATATTCTAGTAAAAGTGGCTTTTTAATAATTGTAAAGTTTTTTATAAAGTAGGTTGTTTAATGTTATTTTGTTTTATGCGCTTGCGTGTATCGATTTAAAAACGTTAATTCGCTCATGCGTTCTGAATCTAACCTCAATGTTGTATATTTTAGAATTATCCACCTAACCAGATAATCGCCTTGGTTGTTTTAATCGGTCCAAAACAAATTGGAAAAACATTTTACGCCAAGAATATAAATTTTATCGTTAATCGATTCCTTGGTTTTAACGTTTTTGTTATTCCGAGACAAGCCAATGAAAGAATTTTGCTGAGAGAAGTAACTGATCTTCTGATCCATGTAAGGGAAAATCATGAGGAGAACAAAACCACGATTTTTATTATAGAAGAATCGATTGACGACTACAAGGAACGTCTTCATTTGATGGCCCTCGGTAACCATTACAAGGCCCATGTGCTGCAAGTGTTTTTCAAGTATTGTCCTGATGAAATCAGAAACTCTAGCCGCTACGTAAGGAGGTGGGAAGCAACTTGGATTGGAGTAACTCCATTAAACAGTCATATCCCCAATGATTATCAACCATTTGAAAACCAAATAACTGTTTTCATGGGTTTTGAACCTTACAAAGAATCGATGAGATTAATCAACTTCATAAGATCTTTGGGTAAAACTAATGCTGTAGCAAACCAAAGTCAGAAGATCATAGCTCACTTAATTAAAGTGAACAAAGAGGAGTGTCAAAAAAGAATTGACGCTCTAAAACTGGCAAAAATTTTGCCATTCGATTTTGGATTGTCAAAACGAAAACCTGATGACGAGTCTGGCCCCAGTAAACCAAGTCCTGAAATGTGAGTTATGTGAAGCTTTATATTTTTATCCTGTATAAATGTTGTTGTTTGTCACATTTTAATAGAGTGTTTGTGCTTAAATGGAAATATTTTTGTAAAAACGTCGTTTTTATTTAATAAAAGCTCGTTATTGAATTATTATCAAAAAACTTCCCTTGTTTGCAGTATCTCGTAAGCGAGTCTTTGGTAAATATATTAAAGTTATTAAGTTCGCAACAAGGGGCTTAACGAATATTTTGATGGAATATTTCAGGCAAAATAAGCCATACAACGTCGCTTAACTTATTAAGGTTTTTGTTGCCTTTACAAAGTAAATGATTATTTTTCTCTGTTTTCAACAACTTCAGAAAAATAGCCATTTTTGTTAAAGCAAATAATCAATTAATCAAGGCAGTTTTTACCTGATTTTAGAATGTCAAAACACATTTTATCTACTCCTACATTGACGAGCTGTAACTTTATGGCGTTTTATTGACGGGCTGAAGTTAACAACAGTGGCTTTTCGACATTTTACGTCACGGGCTGAAGTTAGCTTTATTATAAATTGGGAAAAAGTGAGGTTAAATTCTGGTGACAGTTGACAGATGTTTTTAACAAATAAAATTGGCTTTAAATTCTGTTTTGTGTTCGTCGTAGATAAAGTATAGTATGCAATTGCGAGTTAACTCGTTTATAAACTTCTCTAGACACTCGTTTTTATTAAACACTCGCTCGTGCTTAATTAAACTCGTAACTAAAATGGCGTTTATAAAACTTGATACATAATATACTATTATAATGTTATTATAATTAAATATATTCCAAAACTCACAACCTATAGGTTTATTTTGTATAAAGCTCTATTGACACCAATTTTTCTATGCAGGTAACAATGAAAACTGCAAAACCATCACTTTTTTAACCACTTTATTAATTAACTTTAATTAACCAGGGAGTTAAAATAAAAAAAAGTAATATCAAAAGTTAAACTAAACCAAAATGTGTCTAAAACAATAACTAGTCTTAACCATTTTCAAAGGATAAAATTAGAAGTTAATATAACGTTACGTAACTTCTAAAATATCCTATAGGTTATTTTTTAGTTCAATTAAACTAATAAAACAAACCTATTGGTAAAATTACTAACTAGTTAAATAGTAATAGTAATATTACTTATAAGTTAAAAAGTATACTTTTTAATTTATAAGTAATATTACTATTACTAATTAACTTATAAGTAATATTACTATTTAACTAGTAATTTTACCAATAGGTTTGTTTTATTAGTTAAATTGAACTAAAAAATAACCTTTGAATTTACCTTAAGGTAAATAAATTTAAAGGGATATTTTTTAGTTAAAAAAATGTTAATGGTTGAAAACTAACTAATTGGTTAAAAAAACGTTATTTTTCTTCGATTTTGGTTAATTTACTTAGAATGCTAGTTATCTAACTTAGGTTGGTAATTTTTTTAACATTTAGAAAAATCTTTTTTGAAATGATCGAGTGTGAATCGGTCTTTCAATTTGGTAGAGGGGATACGGTTGGGATCCCGAAGCGAGTGGAAAGGGTGACCGGGGGGGAGGGGGGCGTGCTCCCCAGGGATGCCACCAGTCTGTAATTAAACTCCCAACGACTGCTGGAACCGTAGCTAAAGCCCTTCGGCTTGTGTCTCCCTTCAGAACCAGTGGCGTTTAGAAAACCAAACAACTTAACTTCCAGTGTATGTCTTACACCTTTTACTACCAAACTCGAATCTGATCCATTACTTTATATCAACAATAAAATCATGATTTTTAGTAATACCTACCTATAATGTTTAAGAAGTTTGATGACAAGCATTTTAGTCACGAGTAGAGTGTCTAGAGAAGTTTATAATGTCAAAACGATTTTTGGTTAAAAAAAATTTTTTCTTTTTTTCAAATATTTTAATAGGGTTTCAATTACGCAACTCTTTCATTTATTTAATCGACCTTGTAGATTTTTTAAATAAAAAAAGAACGTTTGAAGATATATTAAAAAACGTATTAATCTTGTAAATTTTATTATTCTAATATCTCTGCGCAGTATACCAAAGACAATTTTATACTGTACCACGCAGTTTATCCATGTAAATATAAAAAATAACACATCAGAGAAAAAAATAAGAAGACTAAGTAAATGTTAGATTTTGACAAAATCATTTTGTAGGTTAAGTTTTTGACGTGACGACGCTGTGAGTCTTGTTCTTTACATTGAGGTGATTAAGGGCGAGTTGTAAGTTATATAGAAATCTGATGGTGTGTATGAATTAAGGTATAATAAGAGGATTATGTAGGTTTTTCTTTTTCATATACGTGGTAGCTAATTAGGACGCGGGCGAATTTTGTACGGGTTTAAATACCCACATTAAAAGATTTTGTTGTTAATTAGTGTCGAAGGGGATAAAAAAAATATTGGTCATTGATTATTTGAAAAAATTCTTTGGTGGTAAAAGGATGAAAGAGCGGCATAAAATGAAATTTATTTATATTTTTTGTAAGCCGGAAAAAAGTGGAGCTTTGTGGCGAATGGAAAAGTTGAATAAAAATGGAACAAAATAAAAATATGAACTCTTTTCAGTATTTGAGTGGAAAAAGTTAAAGCTATAAAGCACTAATTTGGCAACATTAGTGGATTCGAAGCCGCGGTTTTCCGAACGGTTGGCCCTAGCATAGATCGATGAAACTATTGTTGGCCATTCAGGTCACGATTGGAACCGTATCTCATATCAAGCATTGTGTTTCTAAACACATTGCCAATCCCTGATATACTCGCACGATCGAACAAAACACCCAAAATCCATACGATGGACCAAATTTATTTGCTCAACTTAATATTAGGTAATCTTTTCTAATTCTTTAAAACAAAAGAGAGAAAATATTCTCTTAACTGACTGATAGCAGATGCATCAAAACACAAATGACTGATTAAGATTCTTGCGAGGCAGTGAATAAATTTAATGGCCATTGTGACGGGGTAATGACAATATTTAGGCAACACCGATGAAAATGCAAGAAACAAGTCGGTGAAAAGAGTAAAGGTATTCCAGGGATATTTCCCTTTTGTTTTTGGCCGGGTGGGGGGGAAAGGGAGGAGCCTGCCATAATGTTACAAATGTTCAAAAACTCCTTTATTATTTACATACAATTCAACAATTTGCAATGTAATGAATAAATAATATTTTGCCTTTTGTCTATAATTTTATTTGCCGATGCATAGGTAATTGAATAAATTTGAAACATGGACATGGCCAACACCCCTATTTTATATTCGCTCGACAATCATTTGCCTAAAAAATAAACCTAAACAATAACTAGTTCTATATGGAACGTTATAACTATAGTTTGCTATGTTTAATATAACGATTGAATTTCGATTTAACAATATAATACAGGGGTGAATTTTATATAGACCCCGACTACGCCCATATATACTGATGGTGCGGCCTTTCAGGTCACGCTAAAAGTTATTTAGTTGTTACATCTGCCCTTTTTTCAACAATGGCCGATGCACTAATATTGTTCGTTTAAATTCACGCGATACTAAATAAATATTTTCAAGCACCAACCTCGAATAAAACAACAATAAAAAGGATATATTTTCGAAAATATTGGCAAATAAAACAAATTTATCAAAGAGTTTTAATTTTCAATGCAACCACAAAAAGTTTATTTTTAAAAGCTTTTTCCGATTGTAATGTTGAAATTGAATATTTTTCAGTTTATTTTTAAAAATATTTTCGCATTTAGGGACGAAATTGAAATTAAATTGAAAAATTTTAAATTGCACAATAGCAAGTTTAAAATAAATGCTATAATACGCCGTTGGTCTGCGTAACTTTAATTCAAATTTTAATTAATTACGTAATTCTATCGAGGTAGAAATAATCAAAATGCTGAAATATGAATTGATTTTGTTTTTAAAAAATAAAGTAAATCTTGATAAAGTAGTGGTGCCATTATTTAACATCATATTAATGTCTGGGTTTTGTTAAAAATCTTTTTTTGGTAAAAATAAATAAATCTTGATGGTGTTTTAAAGTGATTATAAAGGCAAATACGAATAAAAAGTGGGTACCTACATACCTAGGTAATAATGAGCATGACGGAAACATTAAAATAAACAGTATTTATGTTAAAATGTAGTAGATTTAAGCGTGAAGGTATGGATTAAAATGTAAATTTTAGTGATTTCTAAATATACAAATTGCAAAGATTTTAGGGCAGTTATCCCCTTTTTGTCAGCGTCTGAAAGGAGGTAGCTAGACACAAGCCCGAACAACATGGCGAGGCGGGGCTTCCGCTGTATCCGGAAGGGCGCCATTGAATCTGATTGGTCGTCGGCCAACACGCCTCTAGTCTGTTATCAAATATTGGTCCACAAATAGTTCGTGTTTGTTATATGTTTAGATGCTCAGATGGGTCCTTAGTAGTACAGTATAGTTTACCCACTCCTCATTGACAGAACATGATTAAGAATCTTGGCCATCGAGATCGCAACACTGATATAACTGTCTAACTTCTCTCCGGGCCAGTTTGTTTTCAGTCCTCAGTTCGGTGACAGTGAATCATTATTATCGTGCCATATAAAAAGTGAAGAAATGTGCAGCAACGAAACGCCAACGAATCCGACCCCAAGATTCCCGTTCCCATTGGAGGCGAACGCTCCCAGAGCTCTACTTCCCATCGACCAGTATCGTCTCCAACTGTACCAGTATGCCGTCGCTGAACGTCTTAGATACCCGCTGTTGAACCCGTTCCCGCCGCCGCTCACTTGTTACCCATTGTTCCCGCGGGCGCTTCAACCGGAAGAACCGAAACCCCAGCACAGCTACATCGGCTTGATTGCCATGGCCATCCTAAGCTCCCCGGAAGGAAAACTGGTCCTGTCCGACATTTATCAGCACATCCTCGACCATTATCCTTACTTCAGGACGCGAGGTCCGGGTTGGAGGAACTCGATACGCCACAATTTATCCTTAAACGACTGTTTCATCAAAGCAGGCCGCAGCGCTAACGGCAAGGGCCACTACTGGGCCATCCACCCGGCCAACGTGGACGACTTCAGGAAAGGCGATTTCCGAAGACGCAAAGCGCAGAGAAAAGTAAGAAAGCACATGGGTTTAGCTGTGGATGAAGACGGAGCAGATTCCCCAAGTCCTCCACCTCTATCGGTGAGTCCTCCAGTTGTACCGGGACCTTCGACGGCCGTTTATCCGGTCCCCTCGTCCCGCGGACCGTCGCGTAAACGTCAGTTCGACGTTGCGTCGCTCCTGGCCCCGGATTCCGGCGAAGACACCACCGAAGAGGACATCGACGTCGTTTCCAGCGACCACCAAGAGCAAAACGCGCCGACCCAGTGGCCCATGTTCCCGATTGTTAACTATTATCAGGCTTTGTTGCAAGCGAGGCCGGGCCAAATCAAATCCGAATCGACGACGGAAGCAACTGATTCCTAAGTGAACCGAGGTTTAGTGAAATATTATGAAATAAGGTAACTCCTTTCATCGTTTCTTTAATTTGTCTATTTTCGTACGCACCGAAAGACTTTTTAGGCAAATTAAAACTTGTTGACTTTGACTGAACTATTTATATTTTCGCCGTGATTTCTTTGTACATATTCCCCCTTAAATTATTTTATTTACCTATGTTTTTATCAATTGTGATTTGACCATTATTAATTGAATATTTGTATATAAAATTATATATATATATAAATGTGTATCAAATTGTAATATTACTCAGTGTAAATATATCACATATCTAAAATTATTGTTTTATTTATTATCTATATTTTATATCTATATATTAAGAACTATAAATCCGTATATATTTTTATTGAACGGAACACAAATATAATGCAGTAAAATTATATATTTTGGCACTGCATTTAATTTGCTTAATTTAATAAACTAGGTAAAATTCTGCTTGTATTTAAAATGTGAAAGCTGTATTATTAGGTGTGAAGCGTTAAATAGGCATTGTGACACTCACAAGTGCTTAGACTAATTTGATAAAAATTGAATGACCGAACCTGAGGGTCTTTAAGGTCTGGTACTTACGCCGTAGGAGGTAGCAAATATTGTGGGTTTCAACTTTTAAGTATTCATTGTACTCTTTAATCTACTTGACATAAGCACTGAACGCTTTGCTGCTTTTAGAAGGAGATTAGGGGATGTAACAATGTTTTCCTAAAGAGATTTGGGAATTTTTTTGATTCGATTTCATTCATTTATTTTGATATTTTCGTTAAGGCACAAAATGCAGTCAATTTTTCAACGAAAATATACACTTAAACAACTCGATTTTACAAAACATTTTACTAAAGCTTTTTTTAAAATATTTTTTAGGTTTTAAAAAATGTCTATAACATTCTAAAATATCAAAATATTATGTATCAAGTTTTATAAACGCCATTTTGGTTACGAAGCTTGCGAGTGAGTGTTTAATAAAACCGAGTTTCTAGAGAAGTATATAAACGAGTTTTATAATATACTTTATCTACGACGAACACAAAACAGAATTTAAAGCCAATTATATTTGTTAAATATTTGACATTTTGTCACCCGAATTTAACCTCACTTTTTCCCAATTTATATAAACTGCCCGTGACTAAAAAGCTTCAAAGCCACTGTTAAATTAAATATTTGGGAATCTGTATTACCGCCAAGCTGGTCAAACTGTCAAATTTGTATGTGTAAATCGAAATTTATCCCTTGAAAATGGACTAACAACCGTTTAAATGATGATATAGAAGCAGTTTTTCACAGTGAAAGTGAAGAGAATGTTTTATGGGAATTTCACGGTGGAGTCTCCACCAGAAATTTATAATCCTTTTTATTTTTGTATTTAAGTAATAAAATAATTTCCGCATTATTATTTCACAGGAATTTAACGATTGTATGACATTTGACAACTGTCAACTAACTTTAGCCCGTGACTAAAAACCTATTGCTTACTTTAGCCCGTGACTAAAACGCCATAAATCCACGACTTGACAATGTGTATGCGTTTTAAAGATACTTTATTTGAACATTTTCTATAATTTTCTACAATTTTATTAAAAAAATTTAATCAAAGAAAATAAATGCTAAAATATTGTATTTTTTTGTTACAGACTTGTTTTTTAAAACCTTAAAAATATTAAAAAAGCTACAAAAAATTTATTGAATTCAAAAAAATATTTAGTTTTTCAAATTTTCAAGCAAGTTACCTGAGGTTTAGTTTAGAAAAGTATGCATTAAAATATATTAAATTATGTAGACTAATATGCAGGATAAATTATACAGGGTGCACCAAGTATCCTTCTAGAAAAAAAAAGCCTATTAACATATAATTTGAAAAAAAAATCATCAGTTCTCAAAATATTTGAAAAAAACTAAAAACCTTTCAAAACCAAAAATCGTTATAAGTTTGTTATTCCAGGAAATTTTGAAATAAAGTAAGTTTTACATGTAAACATAAACTTTAACCTAAATTTGCATAGGTATCATCACCATATTTTGTTTTTATAATGGCTGCCATAACTTATGTACTTTGATACATCTTTAAATTCCTTGATTTTTTTTCTATTCAACCATGTTAAATTCCAGTATATTGTATACGGCGGCCACAACTAAATTATTCTTTTTTAGTTATTTTTATCCAATGTTTAAATGCCATTTTAATAGACCTAATAACGTAATTACGCAACTTTTGACTAATTGTTTTTTCTAAAGGTATTAAAAAAAAATCCTAAACGAACTTTCAACTTTGACACCCCTGTATATTGGTTATTATCAACTTTTGTAGGTAGGAATTAAATTTAGCTATATCGCACAGTAAAAACTAATATTCTTAATTTAAGAAAATTGCTATAATTGGAAATATATTTTTGAGTGAAATAATCAATTATTTAGTTTAAAAATATATCTTTCAATTAAGCTTTGCAATTTTCTTTTTCCAAGAAATAAAAAATCTTAATTATCAAATAAAAGCTTTTTTAGCTAAATATTGAAATATTTGATTTAAGTAATATTTTTCTTCTATTTTAAGAATATAAAGTATTTAATCTAATAAGATTTTATTTTTGATTTAAGTATATGATTTATTTCATACTAAAATACCAAGAGTTTTAAGTCAAAGTAATATTTTTGTTTTGAACTAAAATTATAATTCTTCAAACAAATAATATGTTTAATTGATTTAAAAATATAATTGTATTTTAAATATATGGTATGTTTAAAATATTTTACCGCGAGATGTTAGTAGCACGTGACTAATGGAACCAATGGGTTACCAGAAACTGATGAGATGTTAGTATCACGTGACTTATAAACCAATGGGTTACCAGAAACTGTTTCGCTTCGGTATCGGTGCCGGTGCCGGTATTATTTTTAGCCGCCTCATTTCGTTTATGTGTTTCCTCTGGTGTAGGTTATAAAAGTTTATGCAAAAATATGGAAGAACTATTGGAACAATGGAATTTGGAAGATATATTCCCCGTTTTTAAAGGTATAGGTAATATGTTATTAATAATAATAGCAATATGTGTATTGTTATTGTTTTGTTTTTAAAATTATTATTATTGATATAGTAATATATTATATTTAAAATACGGTATCTTATATTTTATAAGATATCGTATTGCTTATTTTTGTTTAATTTTAAATACGAAGGTTTATCTTTTGTTTCATTTTATATGCGAATGTGTATTTTTTATTATTTTAGGATTAGTTTCATGATGCTCTTGTACCTACATTTATATTATTTGTACCAAAATAATTATAATTAAATAAATATGGATTTTTTATTATTTAATATATTATTTCTTTACTTTAAAAAATAAAACATACCTACTTAGTGGAGTTCTTGAACAATTTAAATCATGGTAATATATTCAAGCTAAAGGAATTTAAAGCTGACATCTACTGTAGACTTAATCTACTAGACTGTAGGCAAAAATGTAATGTTTTTAAATTAATTCTGCAAAGAAGGATTAACTTATTAAAATGCTTATTTTAACTAATATAATATTATATATTATATTATATATTATATTATTTTAACTAATATAATATTACTATAATTATATGTAATATTACTATAATTATATGTAAGTGTATAAGGTATACCTTATATGTATACATTCTTAATTAAATTAACTTGTTACATTATTTTAAACTACATTATGTATGTACATTTTGTGTGTAAATAAACATTTTAATTTAAATAAAGCCTATATAAAAGGATTTATTAAAAAATATTACATTTTTGCTTTAAATCTAAATGTGACCTTAAAGTAAGTATAAAAATTATTTAAATTAAACACATCGTTGCCTTGATATGAAAGCATGAATTTCTTCCAACAAAAATATTATACATTTAAATCAACCATATGTTAAATTTTAACCAAAAACATTATTTTTGCGTCAAATTTAATATATTTTTAAATTAAATATATCGTAGTTTTCTATAAAAATATCCAATACTTACGACAAAGGCATTATATATTTACATAAAAAAGCCCAACTTTTTTATTTAAGAATATATTAGTTTTAAACTAAGTCATAACATGCAATTAATTTAAAGCGCGCATTTACTTTTTCTAAGATCATGATATATTTAAATTACAAATAAAAACTTATCTTGAGTCTAATAGATAATTTATTTGTGGCTATTTAAAACAATGAATGCTTTGGTTTAAACCTACAGTATTTGACTGAAAGCATCTTTTTTTACTGTGCGCATTTTGAGGACACCTTTTATATTCTTTCTTGCGGTCAAAGTAAGTAAATTGTTTAATATAATTAACAAAATTTATAAAAAAAATAGTCGAGACTTGTGAGAATATGTGACATTTTGTTGAACAGTGTCATTATTTTTTTTATTTGAACCTCATATAAAAACATATTTCAATTTATTACTGCTCACAAAATTTATTTAAGGAGTCGTACAAAAATGACCTTAAATAAAAAAATCAACATAAATGTTTGTGGTACAATTGAAAACATTATAGTTAAAATATTTTTGTATATTGTTGTGTAGTTTTTGAACGCACAGAAGGTGTATTTAAAACAAGTATAAGGCGGCAAGAATCAATATTAGTTGAAGACATCTTCTCGTCTTGGGAGTGGTAACCTCTCGAGTAGTCCAGTCGTTTTTGAAAATGCTACCATATACTTTGGGTTGAAGTTGTTTGATTTGAACATTGATACGAAATACATACGCGTATAAATATCACATGTCTTGTTTGATTTTTCTCGGTTTTTGACAAATTTCTGTGTACACACCGAAGGTACGGCGATACTTATCTTATTGGGTTTCGTCCGTCCGTTCAATTTCAAGTGTTTGTAGGGTTGAATTTTTGAATTCCCGACCATTCGGTGTGTTGTTATTACAAACAAAATGCGAGGAGATGAATAATATTGAGAATTTTAGATGTTTTCTTTATCCGCCACCTGCTTTGACTAATATAAAC